CAAGGGCGCGCTTTCCTTAATTCTAGTCTGTCCATTATTTTCAGTGTATGTAATTTGATACCAGCCTCTTAAATTTTAGTGCAAGTTTAAAATGGCCCAAAATTCTCGTTGTGTTTTGAGAATATATTTTGCTGTCGAATACGTTGTAGCAAACAGCGCATTCTGCAAACCGCTAATTTGGTTTTGCCGATTTTGACAATTCTCAAGTAAAAGTAAATACCGCAGAACCTCTAAATGCATTGAAATTCACTAATACTCTCACAGATATCACCGTGTCTAGCATTTTCTTCATTAAATATTTTTTTTATAAATCACATTTTTATAATTTAACACAATTAAACCGCGTTCCCTGTCGAAAAAATTAACAGTTAGGCCGGTTTCTATAGTTCTATTCTTTATTTACTTTTACTCTAAAACCAAATATAATGTCAAGAAAGTTCCCACAAAAGAAGCAGCATTAGTATATTACAAATAGTTCGGCAACGTTTCCGTAAAGAACAAAACGAACAGTACTCCCGGCAACATTCTGAAAAAGAGAACAAATGAGAACAAAACTCTTACAAACGTTTCCAATGAGAACGAAAATATCGAGATCTTCAAGGAGGATCAAATAAAAACTATTCAAACATATCAAACTAATACAACGCGAATAGTAAAAAAAAATTTGTTCCCGATTCGTTCCGTCAGAAAGTTCCTGAGACTTTATTAACAAATTGATCGTCGAGAGAGAAGGTTCTTCCCTTCTTGGTTTTACCATTTCTCGGGAAAGTAAAGCACAAATATTCTTGAAAGCAAAACACCCCCGTAAGGAGAATCGACAACCACCATCTATTTTACGATTTTAAAACTGCACTATAGCACGAAACGAAAGTGTGGTCGCCAGTGGATGAAGCTGCAGACTAAACAAAACACCGCACTACGGACAGCGACTGGATGCCTTCTGGTTTCGCCAGAACACCACCTGCACGACGAAGCGAAAATGGTCCCGATGCTCTGCAAGCAGTTTCTTGTTGGGAGCAATAGACGTGGTCACCCAAATAGACAACTGCTTGCAGAAGAGCCCTCGCCCAGGCACGTCAGGTGGCATCTCTGCGAACTGATGGACAGTTCATTAATCAACCTCTGGACCCGTCAGCTTATCAACAGGCCCTGAGCTGCATTCACAGGGTGTGAGTCTAGAGTTATGTAGACTCGAGACCGGTGAATGCCGTACAACTAGTCGCACAACCACCGGCCATTGACAAGACAGAGCTTCATCTGCCTCGGGAGGCTAGAACCACAATAGCCCAACTTCGCTCTGGCTACTGCAGCAGGTTAAACTCATACCTGAGCAGTTTAGACGCAGACGTGCCAAATGAGTGTCCGGCATGCGGAGAGACACCGCATGACTCGAAACATCTCTTCGTATACCCGGAAAACCTGACAACCCTAACGCCTTTGTCCCTGTGGACCGACCCTATTGTGGTTGAACGCTTCTTAAGGCTTCCGTTAGTGGAGCTTGACGACAACGACTGAGATATTAACCGATCTGGGCGGGGTTGATGTAGCCGCTACAACAACAACAACAACGAAACGTACATAAGTGGAAAGTGGGAAGAGCATCTAAAGACTTGCAACTTCACCTCTGGAGTGAGTAAGCTTTGGTCAACCGTGAGGTCACTGTCCATTCCTGAACTTCTCCGCAAGTGAAAACAAGAGGCGCACTTGCTGTTGGCAGTTTGTGCAGCCTTCTGGTCTCTCGACGCTTGGCTTCGCTCCGGGTCCGACAAGGCGCGGTCACCAAAAGATATTTCGACTCTGTCGTCGCGCTTTGTCGGTAGCCATCGGGAGGGCGAAAGCCTCCAAAGCCATGGGACCCGAGGTATATGCTTGTTGATGCTGAAAAATTTGGGTCCTGCGGGAGTAGACTATTTAGCCAAGGTTCTCAACCTGTCAATGGCCACTAATCATTCCAAACATCTGGAAGATGAGGGTGGTCCCACTGCTACCGGGCAAACCAGCCAACAAAGGAGAGTCTTATCATTCGATAACACTCCTGTCGCCGCTGGAGAAGATACTAGAGGCCATGCTACTCCTGTATTTTGCGAACCACCTGACCCCAGCGAAGCATCAGCAATTAAAACTCTGAAAACATGTGACCTAAACCGCAACCTGCCCTGTGAGAGAAACATTATAGTAGCTCTAGACGTGTCAAAGGCGTTTGATACCGTCAGCCATTCCACGCTGCTAGAAGACAAAGGGCCTCGTATCTCCCACAGAGACTCAAACGGTGGTCGGCGAATTATCTGATTGGCGACACTCGTCAGTAATGTTTAGAGATAAATCGAGCCAACCCGGAAAAATAAAAAAGGGTCTCCACAGGGTGGTGTCCTTTCCCCATTATTGTTTAACTATTATATATCCAAGCTCTTTCCACCACTAGACGGAGCCTCGATTGTCTCTTACACTAATGATTGTTCGATATTGGAGTCTGGGAATGGAATTGATGACTCGTGCTCGAAAGTAAACGAGTAACTCTCTCCGAGCTTTCTAACCCTCTTCCCTACAAAATCCTCTGCGACCTTGTTTACCGCTGGGTATTCACATTGATGACTCCAATTCCGACGGTGAATAACCCAAAAATACTTGGAGTAACAGTTTGTCCCCTTCTCTGCGCACACAACCGCAATTGTCAACAAAGTACAAAGCCGCAACAAGGTCCTCAAGTATTTAGCTGGCAGTCCCTGGCGCAAAGACAAAGAAACGTTGCTGGCAACATATAAGGCAATTGGCCGGCCGGTTTTAAATTAGCAGCAACCGTGTGGTAGCCTTATATCAGTAGGACGCAGTGGATGAAGCTGCAGACAGCACAAAGCACAATACTTCGGACAGCGTCCGGATGTCGCCAGAGCACCACCTACATGACGAGGTGAAACCCTGCAGGGGAAGCTACTAGTTGTGAACTAGAATTCTACCGGTTTGCGTTTCAGCCGAACTAGTTCACGTTCTATCCTTTTTCAATGTTAGCGACTGGTATTTTTAACATTGCGATGTCCTACGAGATGTCAATTGTCAGGCTATGTATCAGCATCTACTAGTATAAATACTAGTAGCATCATACCAGTTGATGAGATAGTCTGCCAATTCATGCCCCGTGAAAAGCATAAGTGTGCCTTTTTGCTCGCAATGCTACAGCAGTCACAATGGCCGACAGAGAAGAGCACTCGCGTGGTAAGCTGGTGGCGTGGTGGTTATTTTATTTTTATTTTTTATAAATTTATTTTTTTGTTTATGCTGTTTATTGTAATTTTTTAATTTAAAAAAAAATATTTTTGTTTAATTTCTTTGTTTTTATATTTCTTCGTAAATGTTTTTTTGCAACACAATTAGATTTTCAAATTTGTTATTTATTTATAAATTGAATAAATTATTTTTACTTACATTTATTTAACTTTAAAAATCTTAACCACCTCCAAGCGACCTCGAACCTGCGATTTCAGAACCAGAACCAGTAGTCTTCACGTGACGCCACAGCCGACATTTGTAAGAAAAGCAATTAATTGCGTTTTATTTTTGGCTTTGGCAATTCAAAAGCAGAGGTCGCTAATCGCCTAAGTTCTTCGAAATTGTCGAACTGGTAGGCACATACTAGTTAATGAACTAGTATTTTTTCTAACTGGTTTGGCTTTTCACTGCAGGGAAATGCTCCCCATAAGCGAGTACAACACAAGCAATGCAAGCAATTCCTAGTAGGGAGCCACAGACGTGGACACCCGAACAGACAACTGCTTACAACGGAGCCCCGCCAAGGCATGTCAGAAGTTATCTTTACGAACTGACGGACGAAGCCAAGAGGTTCATAAAGCAAACTCTGAACACGCCCTGAGGGGCATTCACATTCAATTTACGTAGACTCCAGACCTGTGAACGCCGTTCTGGGCACACAACCACCTGACGTAGACGAGACGGAGCTTCATTTGATTCGGGAGACTCAGACCACAATAGCCCAACTTCGCTGTGGCATGCGGAGAGACACCGCACGACTCGAAACAACTCTTCGTATGTCCGGAAAACCCCACAAAACTAACGCATGTGTCCCTGTGGACAGACCTTATAGAGGCTGCACGCTTTTTGGGTCTTCCGTTAGTTGAGCTTGACGACAAGGACCTAGATACAAGCCGATCTGACCTGGGTTATTGTAGCCGCTAAAACAACAACTACGAAACGGGACTCTTCGAACCGTTCGATATCAATCGCGGTTGTAGGCATGAAAAATGCGCATTGTGTGACCTCTTCAATCTGATTACATAATTACATTAAATACTTTTTTATGTATTAAAGTTATGACATTTAGAGATTCTAAGGGCTTGTCAAGTTGTTATGATGAGCTAAGGGCACAATAGACCTAGCGGTCGCAGTGCTATATTTAACTAACCATGCATCTAGATCTCTAAGTATTTATGTCCGATCAGTTTGTATTTAGTGAATTTGACAGTTAAGGAAATAAACACGCCCCTTAAGTTGGCAAAAAGCTTAGCCAAAGTTTGGTCCGTAAATGAAGTAACTTCGTCTATCACAAATTCAAATTCACTAAATTCTTTTTGTTAAGGTTTCTTACTCGAGCGAGTGACCTTTGCCGGTTTTGCGACTCCACCAGTGAGACACTTCTACACATCTTCACCGAGTGTGATGCAGTCTGCAGAATATGTTAGAGAAGTTTAGGCTCAATGTGGCCACAGCTTATGCATCTCTATCCCTAAACATACTGTTGAACTTTCTCAGGGACTCAGGGTTGAGGAGATATTGTGAAGAGTGGAGGGCACAATAGTCCACTAGATCACGGGGCAAACCTCATTTTATTATCTATGTACATATCTACCTTCTTACTGCATTGAATTTTATGGACTACATACTATGCA